CCGCCTGAATGTTCGCCCGCGAAGGCCCCAGAGACTGGGTGGGAATCAGACTCAACCCTCGCATCTGTGCCGGAAACGACTGTAGGTATAAACGAAAAGAAGAACATCAAACGTATCAGGAAGAAAAGACTGAAATGAAAAGTACGCCTGACACCCTGGGAATTGGGACCCAGGCGGCTCTTTCGTCCAGTTGAAGTAGTACGCGGCATAGCTTGATCTTGTATCGGTAAGGCACTATGATGGCTCAAATGCTCCAGCTGCTCACGAAAACTTTGTGAAGAATGGACTAAGATCAGCACCAGGCTTCTGGTAGCTGTCGTTAAACTCAACCTGGCAATGTCGGGGCAAGCTCGAAAACTGCAGCTGCACTGTCGAGTCTGAACTTGCACCAGGCAATGGGTGATGGCTGTCCAGCATGTGATCCTGTTGTTTGGCTGCGCAAAATGCAGACGGCTGTGAGTGAGGTAACTTCACTGCCAGAGGTCCCGCAGCGAACTGCCAAGCAGACCTCACAAAATCACCTCTACAGAAGTCAGGCCGATCAGAAGACATCGAAAAGCATCCCGCAGCGAACCGCAAAGCAGATACCAATCTAGTCCTTGGTTTGCAACCCGAATCCGAAATCGCCATCATCCGAATCAGGCGTGGGCCAGGATGCCGGGCTAAGCCCGCCTGAAGAGACTTCTCCAAGCTCCCCTGTGGTGTGGAAGTCGCCCTCTTCCTCCTCCTCCTCAGCATCCTCTTGCTGCTCTCGTTCCACTTCACATCTAGTTCGTCCGTCTGATGGCCTGGAAAAGTCCGTGGCGAAGGGGTCTGGATCAGATTCTTCTTCCTCCTCCCCTTCCTCTGCCTCAGCATCAGAGTCGTCCTTCGGCGTCGGCCGTGGATGAGCCGTGCGATCTCTAGCCAGAACCGACCTCCGTAGGGAGGTGCTTCCTTTTGCCCAGGCCGGGGTGCCACCACGTCTCCGAAGGTCTTCCTGCCGTATGATCTCGCTCGAATCAAAGGAACCCTGGGAAAAGTCAGAGTCTGAAGAACGAGCAGCAGGGGCAGAAGAACCACCATGAATCGGTACAGGCGGAGGTGGTCCCGCCGGTGCACTACCGGATGTATTATTAGGCCTGAGCCTCGCCCTGCGCCTGACTCGCGAGCGACTCCTGGAGCAACTGCTGGCACGGCCAGGGCGGTCTTCATCCCGTGGCATCCCAGAGCCGGAAGCAGGTTCCCGATCATTGCTGCGATCATTGTCGTCGCCTGTGTCATCTGCACCTGTTCTCGCCTGTTCCAGGTTCCGACGTATGCAATGAGGCAGGTCATCCAAGTGCGACATTGATGCAAAAGTTTTGCAAGACTCCAGTACAGAGCTTTTGTTTGAGCCTGAACAACTCTGCACAGTGGTTTGCTGACTGTTCCTAGCACACACATCCACGTAAGAGCAAGCAGAAGCAGCGGTGTCAAACAGGCTGGGACGGCCTGCTCGCAGGACAGGCAACCATTCGGCCAAAACCAAGTGTATTGCTGTGTTTGTTTATAAGCTCCAACCACAGAACGCACCATGCCTATACGAAGTCTGCTGGGCAGCTTTCTAATCCATCTCAAGCAAAGCCCGAGGCCAGGACATTGTTGTTCCCAGCTGCGCTGCATATGCACAGTCCACCATGCTGAGCCCGAACTCACAGTCCAGTGCAAAGGTCCTTCGAATGAAATCAACCTTCTGCATTGGTCGCAGCAAAACCCATACATCCTGCCAAACCAGCATCGGAGGCAGCGCATGCCACGATATGTAGTAAAGATTGTGCAGCGATACCCGGGATGAAATGGGCAGTGGAGACAGCAGCGTGAGGTAATACTCCATAGCATACTGAAAGATATGAAATCGAAGAGTATCCTCATACAGCCACCATCGAGCATGTTTAGGTATTTTGTTGCAGCCGTGAGCAACATCGAGCAGAGGATCAGGGGCTGCAACACCGGCCATGCGTGCATTACCGGCTGCAAGGTCCGTTCCCTGAAGCAAAACCCCGCCCAACCGCAGAACACAAAGCCAAAGCACCCAACCAAACTACTACGGGCCGCTCTCTGCATCGAGCCGAGATGCTTATACAAATCTACTATAATATAGCATAACATACGAGAATGTACAAAAAAAATGTACTCCAATATACTTCAATATAGGCTTCTGGGAAGCTCGAAAGCCAAGAATGACCGGCCTCAACCGCCATCGGGCAGCGCAGCAGGGTGATGCCCCAATCCTGCAAAGCAGTGAGCTTGCTCTGGGTTGCCTTCCGTTAAGAACTCCAGTCTTCGCATGCTTCAAGCTGGTACATGTATGTACAGATGTTGGAAGTCTGCAGGTTGACCACCGTGCAAAACGCGCTTGGGATTTGATCTTTTTCTCAAAAAGTACTGAAGGCTGAATCTAATAACTTGTCGTTCCTAGAAGTCCCACCTCGGGTTGCCTTCAGCTGCCGCGTCTCGACTGCTCGGTTGCTCTTCACAAGTGAAGTCTAGTAGTTTTGTCGCCAGTGTAGACCCTGCCCCTGGAACTTGATCCGGGGGAGCAGCTTGAAGTATGATCTTACAGATTTGTTCATAAGTTTCTTGACATCTAGGTGATGATGGCATGTGCTCAAGTGCCAGACTGATCGCCGTGCTGCTGTTTAGGTGCAACGGTTGATCTTGCACAGATAAGTCGGTGCACAGTTCTATCGTTTCGTTTGGTTCCTTGACTCGGAGTCCTCCCCTAGCCCTTCCTTGTTGTAACTAGTTGTCTCGTCTCCATTCTACGATGCGAGGATACTACTACTATAAGCGGCTCCGCTGTGGACTGCAGTCCTCCTTCAACCACTGGACGGTTCCTGGCTCGTGCTTTCTTTCGGAAGGCTTTTTTGAGGCCGGAAGCGACAAGTTTAGAGCATGGAGCTATAGAATGCATGACACGTTAGGCACGATTCTTCAGGGTGCAGGCACACCTGAACAAGCCCAGAGGTTTGCCAACTCCGGGACATCTGATCTATGTTTCCAGCTCTCTAGTGTCTCAGGTTCTATCACTGTGATCACAGAGAGTTCTCAACCCCGACGTTCTGCTTCCGGGTCGGAGTCTACTTGAGTTTGGCTTGAAGTTTGAAACATTTTGAAACATCACTTTCCTTCAGCCTCCTTTCGAAGAGGAACTTGGGATGCATGTCGTATCGTGGATGCGGGCACGAGAGGTGACCGGTGACTTGTCAATGAACTGAATTAGAGATGTGCGCCGTGTACCTCTTCCAAACATCGCAGGACTCCTTTCTTCCCGTAAGTGTCATCGCTGGGAAACTTGTTGGGGTCTCGGTTTCGAGTTTCGGGCTTGAGGGAAAAGGCTCCCGGCCTGACGTCCAGAACTGCGGCTTCCACTGAGACCAAAAGAGGGACATGCCCCGAAGGCGAATTGGCAGCCCGTGCCTTGGCAGCGCCCCTTTAAACCTCGAACCTTATGTGGTGCACGTTCCGGGTGCATGTAACGTATGTATGTATGTATGCATGCATGCATGCATGCATGTGAGCCGTCACAGATGTTCGGACTAGTCCTGCAATGAGCATCAGCTCTATCTGGAGGAGATGACACAGCGGTCTGAGGAACTGTTGGAAAAGGTTAGAATCCTGCCCCTCTGGCATGCATGTATGTATGTCGATATCTATGTACACACCTGGAGCATGCAGTACACAGTATGTACTGAGTTGGATGCGTCTTGTCGTCGATACAGTGCTCGTGGTCTTTTGATAAAGGGCTTCAACTATGCACTTAGACCATACATTATAGACCGAGTAGTACTAACGCATTGTTATGTCACATGTGGCACATTTGCATAGATGAATTCGAGCATCTGCACATACAAAAGTCTTCCGACGAAGCCCTCCAGACCCGAGTAGCAAAGCCGAACGAGGGAGCAAATCCACAGTAGAATGTATAATAGCATGCAAAATACTGCACCTCATCGAATAAGATATATACAGTGCGACATAGAATGCAAATCCGCCAAGTCACTCATCCACAACCTTGTTGCCGATCACACCTAGGCGGCCATGGGCCTCCACGATGGATGCCTTGAGGGCTCGCGCTCTTGCGGGGATCGCCCTTTGGGCGTCCAGACAGCATGCCCGCAGACCGAGCTACATGCAAGACGGGGCAACCTGTGTCTTTAGGGGAAGAGTAAATCAGACCTGACCCTCTTGCTTTGTGGTCACCTTGCCTCTTTGTGCACCTTGACTGCGTCCATGGCCTTGTGCTGTGCATGGACCTGACACACAACGAAGCTTGGTGCTTGCGTGTCAACTCTCCTCCCTCAGAGGCTAGGGCATCACACTGATTGTTTTGATGTTTGCGATCAGGGGACTGCATGGCAGGAAGCACATATTCGAGGCCGTTGCCCGGCATGCGAATGTTAAACCTTCCCCTACAAACCCATGGTTCGCAATTCTTGTCCCAGCCCACGATTGCCTTATGCACTCCGTGCTTCTGCTGCAGCAAGAGGTGCTCCTGAGACTAACTTCCAGATCAATTTGGCCGGTGATGAAGGGCTCGCATGTGCCAGCGTTGGAATGATATCTGCAGCTTGTGCTCGAGGGTTTCAACCGCAGTTTTAGTTTCTGTCGGCACCTGTCGTCTCAACCGAGGTGTGGTTGTTTGTTCTTCTCGTTTCCTGCGGTGTGCCGGTTCTGTGCGGCTGGGGTTGGCTGCAGCAGGGGAAGGTGGGAAAGCAACCACGACGACTAAACATAGCTACAACGGCTTGTGCCCTGCAGTTCAACACCCGTCTCCTTGGCACACTCCCCTCCAGGGCAAGGCCTGGAGCGTGAGCGGCTTTAGGGCTCAGGAGCTTGTCGGTCGACTGAGGAGACACCCCCAAACCCTAAAGGATGTAGGGTGAGGGTTTAGGGCTCAGCACCTCCGGATCGAGCAATTTCTAGTCGAGCTCAACTCCGGAAATCATCCCACCCACCCAAGATTGCCACATCATGGGGAAACCGTTATACTTGTGTCAAACTTGAAGGTTGAAATCCAAAACCCTAATCCCCGAACCCCAAAACCCTGGTCCTAAACCCTATGCACCAAAAACCTAGGCCCTAAACCCCAAGCTCCACAGTTTTAGACTTGAAATCCCAAACCCCAAGCTCGGGCCCTAAACTAAGCCCCAAGCCTAAGCCTTAAACCCTAAACCCCAAGCCCCAAACCCTAGGCCCTGAACCCTAAGCCCCAAACCCTATCCATCGAAATCGCCGTATTCCCACGAAGGGCCGGCTTCGTGGGAATGCAGCGATTTTTGGTCTTTGGCGAGTGGAAAGCGCCAGATTCCCTTGGCGATTTCTTTGGACTTTGGCGAGTAGAAATCGCCAGATTGCCACGAAGCCGGCCTTTCGTGAAAATATGGCGATTTCTTCGGCGAGTGGAAATCGGCAAATTCCCACGAAGGGCCGGCTTCGTGGGAAAGAATATGGCGAAGAAAACACCGAAATCACAATTTTCTCACGAATGAGATAAGGCTTCAAATCACATGATAAAGCGTGTTTAGGGTTCAGGGTTTAGGGTTCAGCCACTCCGGATCGAGCAGTCTCTAGTCACTATTTTGATCCTAGAAAGATACCCACCCACCCAAGAACCCTCAACGTTGACAAAACACATTTTTTATTGATCCTAGAGCTTAGATCCTAAACCCTAAAACCTATATCCTGAACCCTTAAACCCTACGATTCAACACCAAAATAACTCTAGACCCTCTGATACGAACTTTATGGAACCCGAGACCTTGAACCCTGGGCCCTGAAACTGAAACCCTGAACCGTAGAACCCTGAAATCTCACCCTAGGCTCTGAACCCTAAACCCTCAAACACATTCCAACGACCCCGGGCCGAAATGGCCATTTTCCAACGAAGGCCGGGCCATATTCCAACGAACCCGGGCCGAAAGGGACATTTTGCCAATACCTTGCCCTTTCGGCCCGGGTTCGTTGGAGTACGGCCCGGCCTTCGTTGGAAAATGGCCCTTTCGGCCCGAGTTCGTTGGAATATGGCCCGGCCTTCGTGGGAAAATGAGTGACAGCCTAAATTGCCGTTGGAACACCCTGGTCTTGTCATGACAACCCAGTATATCACGTGGGACCAGTTTCCATGAAACCATGGGGCACGGGCCTTGCACTGAGCAGCACAGGAAAAAGCACGAGCAGCCCCCACATGGCTTCAAGAGGGACACGGATCGACAGAAGCTGCAAGCTCAACACCACTGTTCCTCTGACGCCTGTGACAATGCGGCTGGCGTCGACTTTCCATGACTTCTTGTTTAAAGCCAGCACTTGGACAAAGCTGCAAACAGCTGCAAAGAGGCACGGCTGGCTTGGTGCTTCACCCTCATTCCATCTCGCAACTAAAGCATCGCGCCCGTGAGCTGACTACGCTAAAGCTAATTTCAATCGATAGGTACCGCTGAGTATGCACTTCAATTGAAAAAGCTGAGTGCGCCGACCAGGCCATGGAGAGGGGTTCGAAGTAAAGTCGGGCAGCCGAAACGCACGGAGGGCTATGCCGGCGGGAGAACTCCAGGCTCTTGTGTCTCTACTTGTTTAGGGGGCACTACCATGTTTAGGGTACATATCCGGGTCCACCATCGCCTGAAACACCCAGTTATATAGATCTCCCCAGAGATGGAGTTCTCCTTTCAGCAGAAGCCGATTCGTTAGCACTGTGCCTTCAGGGCAAATGCAAGCGCACGGCTTTAAACACGGTGTGATAGTCGTGTTGGTATGCGCTATTCCTCTCTCGATTGTCCGAGGTCATTCCTGCCGGAGGTTGGGATGCCGATGAGGAAATGCATCTGCGGCCCACTGATCGGGGGCCTTTGGCAACTAAACTCTCCGACCTGGAGCCAAACCACGAACAAAGCGGCGCTCATAGTATGCCAGTGGACTCCAACGAATGAATCCTAGCGCCCCGAAGCAAATCCAAGTAATGTTGTCAAGTTTGGGTTTAGCGACTACAGTGTAGTAGTTTCCCCAGCAACAAGCCGGAGGAAGGACCTGCTCTAAACTACCTCGTCTCGTGAGGATGCGGGGCTGAGGATAGCGGGCGTCCTCACCGCAGCCGATGACATGGGAAAGAAAATTCGTTTTGGGGCATTCTCCCGGAGCACCTGAATCTGAAGGCATGAGTCCCTTCACCTGAGCCTGCTTGCGAGAATGATTGAAAAGAATCGTGAGTAGGGTTTGGAGAGCTCGGACCTATTCGGAGCTTCGGGCTTGCATCCACGATGCCTGTGTATCTTTTTGGGCAACAACTTGACTCCAACTTTTGAAATGCACACCCAACATCACCACCAGGATTGCAAACACCTTGATTCGGCGGTGAGCCTGAGCTTTCCCTTGAGGAACTTGGCCACCTCCCTGCGGCTTGCCTCTCAAGCCAGCGGCAGAGGAGCGTGTTTTTCCAATAAACGAGTTTCTCTCGGTGGGACATCTAGCAAAGACTTTCAGAGCGCATTCGACGAGAGATGCAGAGTTGCAAAGGGGCAGACTCTAGACAAAACTGCTTTCGAAAGAGACTCCACACAGAACAGTTCCAAGGTAGCCTCATGCGTCCCCTTGGATCATGCGAAACAACCCATGTCGTCCAGGAAAAGCTCAATGCCGTGCCCTGCAAATCTCCGAAGTCTGTATTGAAGAAAGTGGGCACAGTCATTGTAGCCCTGTGGCCTCCTTCTCTTGCGGGATCGACTGCAACATGGCAGCAGCCAGATTCAGCTGCGGCCTCGGCTGTGACTGCTCCAACATGCTCCAACTACGCAGCTGAAGGTGCATGGAACAGAGGAACACTTACACACCAAGCATGCAGACACTCACTTTTCAACGGACCGCACACACGATCCACCACCCCAGGCCAGCTGCAGCTGCAGCTGACCATGGGGGGGAGTCACACACCCTAGAAACACACAACCCTCAGTCGGCCACATGGTGCCATAGTGTGCCCTCACCGGGCAATTGATATCAAGGGCGGGCGGGCGGGCTTTCGAACACAGTGAGCCCAGTTCTGACAAGCTGCACACCGCACTGAGATGCATGCTGTGGGTGTGTGAAGTGTTCGGTGCATGCACGGTGTGCGCAGGCATTCCGTTGTTGTTAAGGCGATCCTGTCTGACACGAGCTGCTTCCTGATCTGCTCTGGCACAAGAAGTTCAAGCCCCGGGATCAAAGGACGAAAAATCGAGGAAGTCCCCGCTGTTCAAGTTAAACACGGAATGAGCCATGCGAGCAACCATTTTTTCAAAATTATTGCATGCCGCGTTGACAGTGCGAGAATCTGCTAGAAGCTCGCTTAGAAGGGACTGAGGCACCAGCTTCAGCGAAATCTTGGATGCCTGCCATGTGGAACTTGCTTATTCCATCTTATGGCTCCCCGCCCCGAGGCTGCGAACTCTCAAAGCTCAAGTTTGACATTAAACCTACAGCCGTCACCGTGGCTCTCGGAAACACTTGCAACCTCGTCGCAGGACCCAAAACCCTACCCTGGACAAATTTATGCGTTGCAGAAAATAGCTTTGCTTCGTAGGACGACCCAGTGTACCCACTTAGCTCAGATTCCGAAATCAGCAGTATTTTCATTGATTTTGCACTGATCTTTCAGTCTTCCGCTTCACAGCCCCCTGTGACTCTCCTGTGACGAATAAATGATTTGTCTTTGAGTTTTCAAGCGTTTCCAGTGGTTTGCGGCCGGCCCGGTCCAGGCCCATGCAGCGTAAAACCTCAAAAGCCTAGCCAAACAGACAGACACACAGGAAAGACTGAGGGGTTCGCAAGAAGCTTAGCAAGACCTGACTATAGACAGGTGAATGAACAAGGTCAGACGCAGGGAGAAGAGGACAGAATCAGACACGTGCACGTACCTATACCTACATATACCTGTATATGCATACCCAGTTTCAGAACAGAGACCGCGGCTATAAAACCCAGGACCCCTAGTCAAAATTACCCTCTGTCTCTAAAATCCTTCAAAACCTCCCGCCGCCATGTGCAACCCTTACAAGACCCTACAAAGTGCTACTGAAGCCCCATACAACTTCTTCGAAACCCTGGGTAGTGTAGCGCTCGCCTTGGTCAGCTGACTCAGAAACTCCTCGGAATCTCTTCGGTTCGGAATGAGGACAAGGGGTTTAGTCCTTTGGATTGTTGGGCTTTTGGGGTTTTGGTCTTTCCGCGGTTTGGGTTTAGGAATCAGGCTACGATCCACTACTAGGGCTTGAGGCTTAGGGGTGTATTCCCAAACTAGAGGTACCTAATTTGGGGTCCTTGTAATTAGCACGGATCCTGCTACTCAGAAGATTTTCGATGATACATCTCTGAAACTACGACTGGACTTTACTTTCAATGACTCTCACGAGGACGAAACTTCCCGTCGCATGTTTGATTGTGGCAGCTGCTCACTGCAAGCCTGGAAATGCAAAACTCAAGCATCGAGTTTGCGAGTTTCCTCTGTGACGTTGTCCCTGCACTGCTCGATGGCTTGGCAAAGCCTTTGTGCGGCTGGAGCAAGACTGATTCATGGACGTTCTTGAACAATAATGGCACCCTGCCTGAGCTTGAAGCAGACTTGAACACAGCTACTTCCGAAGATACGGGTTTCTCCATCGCAAGTCAAGCATTGCAGGCTGACAGCGATCCGCAGATCTGCCTACTGACAACGAGTTCTTTCAAGTGCTGTGGCTTTGGCAGCATCCCGAAGCTCTCCTGCCATGTCACAACAGCCTCCCTCCACAGCTTTATTTCCTTTATCTCCGGGAGTTCAATGCCATTCTTAGATCAACGACGGCCACCTCCGACTCCATCTCCTTCAGCTCACTCGCGAGGAGTTGCATCTGAAACGTCCGCTGGCCTCGATTTGAATAAGAGAGCGATCCTTGTTCTGATCTAGATTGTGACTAGATGACAGCATCTTGGTCCTGGAGGGGGTGTCGAGCACGAGACTACACACGGTCCTTACCAGACCTGTATTCCGGTGGAAACTTGTTACAGTCCAGAAACGAAATCGAGACTATGACAGATCAAAACGCACATTCAGCCGAACGGAATGATATTGTAATGGGATTTGTCTCACGCTCTAGCATTTGTTAGTCTCTTGGCATGCTGGTATAATCTTGCTAATGTGCTCTAGTATTGCCCCCCCCTGGCAATGAGGCTTCGGGGCTCGTTGCGCCAAGTCGTTGTCAATCACAAGAACCAATACAAGCCAGCTGTCAAGCGCGAATACATTGGGATTTCATTGATGTACCGGTTCAGCCTGTAGGTTGCCAGTTGTTTGCCGCACACTCCTCGATCAGAACACGCAGAAAGAAAACCTGCCGGGATGCTGCAGGCGTCCAGTTTAGTTTCGCATGCAATGTCTGCAGCAACGTTGGGGATTGTTGAAGTCCCCTGGTTGGTGATCCCATCAAGAACTGCTCAGGACACGTTCACATTAAGTCAGTTCATGTTTGGACACACGGAACCGCAACCCCAAATTAAGCCTGGCCTGAACCGTCGAACCCACGAGCCTGCGCATCATACCCATAAGCTGCAATCAAGTTGTGCAACTCGTTCAATCCTTGCTTCTGGGTCCTGCGGCTTCCAAAAAGTGCTGGTGTTCAGGCTCCTACTCACCAAGCTTGGCAAGGCTGCTGACTCGAATAAGCACTTGTCATCGATGCCAGACACAAGCCATCTGAGGGCAAAGCTTCTTGCTCAGACCGTTCACCACATACTTTATCCTCAAGGTGAGGGGCAGACGAGGAAGGTTAGCAGCGCTGGGTCAACGGCATTGAATGCACAAACATGGAACTGAAGTGTTGAAGGCAATAAGGCCCAGACTGCCAAAACAAAGGCTGGGCGAACGAGACCATTGGTCCCGGCACCAACCCTGACCCGAAAATCGAAAATCAGGGGTGACGCGGGACGAACTTTCACTGAAAAGCTTTGCGATCGCTTGAAACCGATAGCGGCTGCAGTGCAGAAAAGAAACATGAGTCAGGCCAACCAAGGCTGAGCCTTTCCGACAGTCCCCAAACGCTCAAACTGCTCACGGACTTGTTGTTGTCTGCTGCAGCACGATGGACTGCATTTTTTTGCATTGCACTGGACCAAAGAGTCTACTGACGCGTCAAAATCATGCATTTAAATTCAAGTGAGGGCGGCATGCCGGGCAGTGTTCTGAGCACGGCCTGTTAAGGCAGCCTGTACTGGCATCCTGGCACAAAATCTGCCTCATATGCTACAGCCGTGGGGGACAGAATCATTAGGAGATGTAACTGGCGGAAGAAAAGCCGTCTCCCTGGTGACCTGTAGCCCTCCAAAACCAAAAGTCTAACGGACTTCTTGGCTCCAAAACGAAATGGTGACAGTGCGAGCCGGCTCGCTGGTCTGGTAGCCTGCTTCCTCCAAGGCCAATTGTCTTCGCAAGGGATCAACTGGCGGGTTTCAAAGTCACCAGGGCATCTTTCGTAGATAGGCCCGCAATTCTGTCCACGCGGGCTGCATTGCCCGCAGGCCTGGACTGGAGGCTGCGCCCTTTCAAACAAAATCCGGCTGCCAGAATGTAGCTTCTTGGTCCGAATCCGATCAGGGAACTTAGCTTCCTGATCTTTGCAAGACTTAGTGTCATTGACTTTTTGCGACGGTCCAGAACCATGAGGAAACCCAAGGTTTGTTCGATAGGGCTCTCTCTATGGAGGGTTGTCCCAAACCCCATCATAAGCAGTCTCTGGACCTTGTTATCCAACCCCCCTGAGAATTCCGAAATTTTGGGTTGAACTAGAATGGGATCTCGCTCGAGCTTCGTAGCTCGACGATCTTTGGGGCTGAAATTTACGCGCAAAAAGCGATTTCCTCGCAACGAAGAGAGCGACCAACATATATAGGTAGGGAGGTAGTTCGGACCATTTAATTTTTTGGAGCCGAATTCGGGTGAAAAACGCCTCCCAAACGGACTTCGGCGTCTCCGCTTGTTTCGGCGTGGTTTCGAGTCCGAGGCAAGATTTGGGAGGTTTCCAAGATGACTCAAAGATGACTCCATGATGACTCCATGATGACTCAAAGATGACTCATGATGACTCCATGATGACTCAAATATGACTCATGATGACTCCATGATGACTCAAAGATGACTCGGAGTTTTTTCAGCTTCATTCGCCTCGGTTTCGTTGATTCGGCTTGGTCAACCCCTTAGGCCTCATCCGAATTTACTGTCCGAACTACCTTCCTACCTATATATGTTGGTCGCTCTC